ACGTAGTAAGAACTTCCATGTGAAAAGTAAAGAAATTTCTAAAAGTTTCAAAACTTCCAAGAACTTTCAAAAGTTCAAAGAGCATTCAAAAAATTTCAAAAGCTTCCAACATCTTTCAAGAAGTTTCAATAACTGGAGTTTCCCTGAAGTTCTCTGGAAATTTCCCTGAAATTCCCTGGAAATAACTTTTCCATGACTTAAGCTAAACTTAATAGTTTAACATAAATTTTAATTAACGTTAACATAACTTGAACAGAAGCTCTCTTGAAAAAACTTCAACTAAACTTTTACTATACTTTAACTTAACTTTAATTAAACATTATCTTATTAAATTAACATAACTTCAAGTTAAAATTAACTTCCACTTATTTTTTACTGAACTTAAACATATTTTAGCATAATTTTATCATAACTTTAACTTGAATTTAACATATCATTCACTTTAACTAAACTTTATCTTGAGCTTAACCAACCTTCACTAAATTTTAGCTTACCCTGTAAAAAAATCCAATAAAAATACAATGAATTTCATTGTTATTGTGACCATGATATTTACTGTTAAAACATTGGACATTTTTGTTGATTACTATGAAATCACAACGGAATTCATGGTTCACAACAATGAAAATCAAGGTATTTGTGAAATTTACAATAAAAAAGGGGGGTTGTTAAGCATCTTAGCAATAAAAAAAAAACTGATTTTTCTAGAACAAATTTAATCTCATCACATTAATTTTCATTGTTTGAGCATTGTATCGTTAAAAATCTAAAATTTATTTTTCGCCGTTCAATAACTAAACAATAAATTTTAATATACTCAAAATTCAATCGTGAAAATCATTGTAATTTCATTGTTTTATTATAATTATTATTTTTCGGGAACTGAACTTGATTTTATCTTTCATAAAACATGTTTTACTAAAATATTACTAATTAACTAAACTTATGTTCAACTATTACTTAATCTGAACTAATCAAATTTTTAATTCTCAATTTTGATTTAACTTTGACTTAATTTTATCTTAACTAGAACTTCCGAGAAGTTACAAAAACATCCAAGAACTGAAGTTTCCCGGATGTAACATGAACATAACTACAACTTAGCTTTAACTAAACATTAACTCAAATTTACCTTAACTTAAACTAAACTTATATCTATGTTTCGAAAGCAAAAAAAAATATCAAATTTAAAAATTTATAAATTTTAAAAATTAAACAACTTAGTAGGACTTAGTGGCCAAAGGAAGTTTTAGGAATATAATAAATAGTTACCGAGGGAGTCTATGTTACAACCAAATTCATCACTTTCAACATTGATAATGTTTGGAATGAATCATATTCATATATTTAATGCTTTTTGAATCTCAAATTCAACTTCACTGTAATTTCGCAATTTTTACTTCCTTAATTACACAATTTTACTTACTTTCGTGATTAAAATGTTGTATGTAAAAAAAAAAGAAAGTGAGTAAACTTGACTCAGTCTGTGAGTCACTTTTTACGCCTGTGTATTGCTAGATAAATTTTGTTAATTTTTCTCTACATAAATATTAATTTAATTTTATGTATTCAATGTCACCGAGCTTATCTTCAAGTCACCGGACAGCGTTAGTTTAGGTTGCACCATCTCGACGGTGGACCTAACGAATCTGGATCATTAACTCAGTCCAACAAGGTACAAATAAGACAAATAAGTTTTTTATAACATTACTTATCCTTGATTTCATTTTATTCATCCTGTACAGAATAGTACTCGACTGTCAAATTGACGAATGGAACTCCAACTGATGTCGCAGTCGTCCAACTTCATCCAGAGTTCCAGAGTCCACTAGTCTCCCGGATTATAGGCGCCTGCAATCGATTTTCAATGGCATCGGATATCGATTTACTTTAGACGACAACCTGATTCAAAAAATTCCCATATTGATTGGTATTTGACAGTAATTCCCACTTTTTCTAAAACCTGAAGCCACCTCTTCTTGGATTTTGGAATTCAAACTGACGTCGGATACCTATTTCCAATCTATAGACATAACCCGATCCCAAAAATACCCATTTTATAAATAATTGACAGTATTCCCAATTTTTCTTAAACCAGAAGCCGCCAGCTTTGATTTCAAAATCTCATCGGATATTAATTAGCGGCCTCTAGTCATTACCCCGGTTCTAAAAATACCCATATTTATGGATATTTGACAGTATCTTCCACTTTTTCTGAAACAGGAATCCTACACCTTGGATTTCAAAATAGCGTCGGATATCAATTTCCTATCTGTACACGTCACCCCGATTCCAAAAATACCCATATAGATGGATATATGACAATATATCTCACTTTTTCTGAAACAGGAAGTGGCCATATTTGATTTAAAATGGCGTCGGATATCAATTTCCAGTTTATTGTAGATTGTAGTAGAGTTGGAAACTTGATCATGTTAACACTGCGCATCATTGTCTGGTAGTTCGTTAAAAAATGCTACAACAATCGTCAAGCTCGCTGTAACGTCACCTAGTGCCTCGTCATCCACGAATTGGCGCCTATGTCAGTAGTCTAATAACTCTTAGCGCGCTGATGGCATGGTTCCAATGCCGCATAGAGAGTTGCTACAATGATATTAGGTTAGCTAAGGTCAGTTAACTGACTGGTGGGGAACGGGAGCTTTAGCAATGACTATTATGTATGCATTTCTATAATGTAATCTAACAACAATGGTGTGAACTGTTTACAAAATCATGTTTGTAATTCTAATGTGTTGTATGGTTGAAAGCATTTGAAATAAGTTAGATTCTAAAGTGGTTCTAGGAACTAGATTTGAGTTCCATTGAACCCGTCTTTGAATTCTCATGTAATTCGATGTGTCGCATGATGGGTTTGACCCGAATCAGATGTTGGCCTCTTCCCCCGGGACACCCGAAATATGTCCGGATGTGGCCAAAATGGTTCTAGGAACTAGATTTGAGTTCCATTGAACCAGAAATTTAATTCTCATGTATCTTGATGTGTCGCATGATGGGTTTAACCCTAATCAGATGTTGGCCTCTTCCCCCGGGACACTCGGAATATGTCCAGATGTGGCCAAAGTGGTTCTTGGAACTTAATTTGAGTTCCATTGAACTAGTCATTAAATTATCATGTAATTCGATGTGTCGCATGATGGGTTGGACCCTAATTAGATGTTGGCTTCTTCCCCCGGGACACCCGGAATATGTCCGGATGTGGCCAAAGTGGTTCTTGGAACTAAATTTGAGTTCTATTGAACCATTCATTGAATTCTCATGTAATTCGATGTGTCGCATGATGGGTTGGACCCTAATTAGATGTTGGCTTCTTCCCCCGGGACACCCGGAATATGTCCGGATGTGGCCAAAGTGGTTCTTGGAACTAAATTTGAGTTCCATTGAACCAGTCATTGAATTCTCATGTAATTCGATGTGTCGCATGATGGGTTGGACCCTAATTAGATGTTGGCTTCTTCCCCCGGGACACCCGGAATATGTCCGGATGTGGCCAAAGTGGTTCTTGCAACTAAATTTGAGTTCCATTGAACCAGTCATTGAATTCTCATGTAATTCGATGTGTCGCATGATGGGTTTGACCCTAATCAGATGTTGGCCTCTTCCCCCGGGACACTCGGAATATGTCCAGATGTGGCCAAAGTGGTTCTTGGAACTTAATTTGAGTTCCATTGAACTAGTCATTAAATTATCATGTAATTCGATGTGTCGCATGATGGGTTGGACCCTAATTAGATGTTGGCTTCTTCCCCCGGGACACTCGGAATATGTCCAGATGTGGCCAAAGTGGTTCTTGGAACTTAATTTGAGTTCCATTGAACTAGTCATTAAATTATCATGTAATTCGATGTGTCGCATGATGGGTTGGACCCTAATTAGATGTTGGCTTCTTCCCCCGGGACACCCGGAATATGTCCGGATGTGGCCAAAGTGGTTCTTGGAACTAAATTTGAGTTCTATTGAACCAGTCATTGAATTCTCATGTAATTCGATGTGTCGCATGATGGGTTTGACTCTAATTAAATGTTGGCTTCTTTCCCCGGGACACCCGGAATATGTCCGGATGTGGCCAAAGTGGTTCTTGGAACTAAATTTGAATTCCATTTAACCAGTCATTGAATTATCATGTAATTCGATGTGTCGCATGATGGGTTGGACCCTAATTAGATGTTGGCTTCTTCCCCCGGGACACCCGGAATATGTCCGGATGTGGCCAAAGTGGTTCTTGCAACTAAATTTGAGTTCTATTGAACCATTCATTGAATTCTCATGTAATTCGATGTGTCGCATCATGGGGTTAAACCTAATAAAATCTAATCAGTTACTGGATGCTTTCCCCAGGGCACCCGGGATTGGCCTGAACCTGAATGATGAGGCATCCCTGGGAATATCGTCTGATTTTGGGTAGATTGTAAGTTTGTTTGTTATTATTGTTAGTTTAAGATATGTATATGCAAAAAAAAATCAAATATTTTAGTTATAAGAATTATTTTTGTATGTATGTTTAAAGGAGTTTTAAATAAAGTCATTTGAAGGGTTCAACATTATTTACTTTTTATTATTAAAATCGCAAAAAGAAAGAAAATGGTGGTGCACAAACTACAGCCGCCGGCTAGTGCGCCGGGGCGGACAAAAGGCGACCAAAGCGGCTAAAACGATCAGTTTTTTGACAGGTATCGTTTTCGCCTCAGGCGCCCAAATGTTGCAAATATGGTCGCCCCCGGCGCGCCGGCGACCAAAATTGGACCAAGCGGCGCCGCGAGGTTCGAGTCGCCCAAGTCCGCCCCGTCCGCCGAGCGGTCCGGGGGCGAGCCGTGGGCGACTAGCCCGCTGTATGTGGGTGCCCACACGAATTGCCGGCGAAAAAGTGACGTCATTTGACATTGGGCGACTTGAAGACTGATCGTTTTTAAATTGGTGTGTTTTTTTTTGTCGTGCGCTCAGCCATCTTGTCTGGTTTGTTTATAAACAAACCAGACAAGATGGCTGAGCGCACGGAGCGGTGAATCCTTTGCGGTGTTTGCGGTGCGCTAATTACATTTCCCGAGTCGCGAAGGGAAGTAGGAGCATTAACAGTAAGTATTAAATTATTATTGTTATATTTAGTGTTATTATTTTTAATTTAAAAAATTAATGCGTTGCATCAGTAAGGATGTTTATCTCATCCGAATTTCTCCAGCGGTTCAATTTTGATGTAATTATTTTTCAAAATTGATCCGCTGGAGGAATCCGGATGAGTTAAACATTCTTGTTGATGCGTTGCATAAGTAAGAATGAATGCTTAAATTCTAACAAACAGATCCAAAAATTTGAGGATTTTGTAATTTTTTTTCAGCCGGCTGCTTCCAATAATTCCGGAGGTGTTCGCGATGGGAAATTGAATACAGGTAAGTATTGAACAGTTTGTTATTAAGTGTAATTATTTTTAAAAATTGATCCGCTGGAGGAATTTGACTGAGTTAAGCATCCTTACTGATGCAACGCATTAATAAGGATGTTTAACTCATCCGGATTCCTCCAGCGGATCAATTTTGATGTAACTATTTTCCAAAAATTTGTCCGCTGGAGGAATGCGGCGGATTTAAGCATCCTTACTGTCATCAACAAGGATGTTTAACTACTCATCCCGATTCCTCCAGCGGATCAATTTTGAAAAATAATTACAAATTCTAAACAACAGATCCCAAATTTTGATGATTTTGTAATTTTTTTTCAGCCGGCTGCTTCCAAAATTCCGGATTAAGGGAGGTGTTCGGAGGGAGGTGTTGAATAGAGGTAAGTATTGAATAGTTTGTTTTTTTTTTTCTTTATTAAAGAGACTTTCAGCCTTGGGCTGGTTCGTCTCTGGGAATCCCAGATGGGGAATCCCCTATTTGAGGGGGGTGGGAATTCCAGAGGGAAATTACCCTAACAACATAGTTTGGATCCCAGAGGAGATTTCCGGAAACAGAGTTTTTAGCCACGGAGTTTTTAATTTGGTGGCCCTGGAAGGGAACCTCCGAGGGTGGGGTCCCTTAGTTGCTTAGTGGCTGTCTTAATTCTGTCATTTTGTTGGAGAATTCCGTTTTCGTTGCGTTGGTCTGTATAGTTGCTGATGTGGGTGGTTGGTTGTGAGATTCTGGTTCCGAGTGTGATCTGGTATGGTGGTGATGATGATGATGGTGAGTTAGGTGATCAGATTAGATCGAACAGCTCAGCTTCCCGCAGGAAAGCTAAAAGGGCTGTAATTCTGGTAGAATCGTTACCGAGGGCATCGCTGATGCTTCCCGGGATGTCGTAGCGGGTTCTTGGTGCTTCGTATTTCGGACAGTGGCAGATAATGTGATCCACCGTTTGAGGAATTCGGCATAGATCACAGATCCTATGGAAAGGTCCGTCTCCCTTGTATGAATAGTTTGTTATTAAGTGTAGTTATTTTTAAAAATTGATCCACTGGAGGAATCTAACTGAGTTAAGCATCCTTATTGATGCAATGCATTAATAAGGATGTTTAACTCATCCGGATTCCTCCAGCGGATCAATTTTGACGTAACTATTTTCCAAAAATTGATCCGCTGGAGGAATCCGGCGGATTTAAGCATCCTTACTGATGCAACGCATCAACATGGATGTTCAACTCATCCGGATTCCTCCAGCGGATTATTTTGATGTAATTTTTTTTCCAAAATTGATCCGTTGGAGGAATCCGGCTGAGTTAAGCATCCTTACTGATGCAACGCATGTCGATGCCGGATCCCGATGTTTATGTTTAAGGTAAAATTAAGTATGTAACAACTAAATTTAACTTAAAATTATGTTAAAGTTAAATTGAAGTTTGACTAATTAATTTAGAGTTATTTTAAAGTTATGCTACAATTATGTTAAAGTAAAGTTAATGTTATATTAAAGTTAAAGTTATGTTAATGGTAAGAATTTAGTTAATGTTACGTTAAAGTTAAGTTAAGGTTATGAAGTTAAGTTAAAGGTAAGTTAAAATTATGTTTATGTTAAGATAAAGTTAAGTTAAGTTATGTTTAAGATAAAGTTTAGTTAAAGGTAAGTTAAAGTTATGTTGAAGTTAAGTTAACGTTAAGTTAAAGTTAAGTAAAATTTAAGTTAATGTTAAGTTAACGGTAAGTTAAAATTATGTTAAGTTGAAGTTTATTCAAATTTAGGTATAAGTTATGTTAAAGTTAAATTTATTTTAAAGTTCAAGGTAAGTTAAATTTACGATAATGTTAAGTTACAATTAATTTAAATTTAAAGTTATGTTAAAGTTCAAGTTATGCTAAAAATAAATTAAATTTATGTTAAATTTGATTCAATTTAAGTTAAAGTTTTGCTAAAATTATGTTCAAGTAAAGTTAAAAGTTAAGAAGAAGTTATTTTAAACTTAAAGTTAAGTTAAAGTTCTGCGATAGCTAGGTTAAAGTTAAAGTTAAGTTCAAGTTAAGTTCAAGTTAAGTTAGAGTTAAGTTAAAGTTAAGTTAAAGTCAAGGTTGCAAAGACTCATTTCAGCTAAAATAATGTTTTTCGGAATAATAAAACCAAAAGATGGTATGATGGCATGTTTTACTTGTAACTTACAAGAAGAGGTTACAAAGTATGCATTGGAAACATAAAACCTGTAAATTTTGCTTTCTATGAGTCACAATCAGCGATTTGCTGATCGCTGAGTGAGTGAGTGAGTGAGTGAGTTTGTGAAAAATCGCTGATTGTGACTCTCATGAAGTGAAATAAACAGGTTTAATATGTCAAACACATTCTTTGCAACCTCTTCTTGTATCCTACCAATTCAAAATTTGATCATGGCATCTAATTATTTCATAATTTAGAAAAACATTGTTTTAGCTGAAATGAGTCTTTGCAACCTTGGTTAAAGTTAAGTTAAAGTTAAGTTAAAGTTAAGATAAAGTTATGTTAAAGTTAAGTTTAAGTTAAGTTTTAGTTAAGTTAAAGTTAAGTTAAAATTAAAGTTAAGTTAAAGTTATGTTTAAGTTAAGATAACGTTATGTTAAAGTTAAAGTTAACGCTTAAGTTAAGTTAAAGTTCAGTTAATGTAAGGATAAAGTTATGTTAAATTTAAGTTAAAATTACGTTAAGGTTTTGTTAAAGTTTAAGTTAAGTTAAAGTAAAGTTAAATTTATGTTAAAGTTATGTTAAAGTTAAGATAAAGTTAAGATGTTTTCGAATACAAAGAACCGGTGCGTTGATGTTAAAATGCAATCAAAAGTACTTAAAATAAGTAGTACTGACGGTAATTAAAATTATCTATCCGTAATTAATGTAATTAAAAGTATTGAAAATGTAATTCATGTACTTTAATAACGAAATTTCAGCTGTAATTAATATAGTTAAAAATTAGTTAACGTTACATTGTGTAATTAATGTAATTAATGCAGTATTTAATGGAATTAATTTAATTACAGCCGTTGCCTGCGTTGGAATTAAAGGTTATTGCGTGCCCCTACTTAGGATGTATTTTTTTTTTACTCTATTAGAGAGATTTTTAGCCGTTGGCTAGTTCATCTCTAAATCATATTAATATTAATAATTAAAGTTACGTTCAAGTTAAGTTAAAATTGAGTTAAAGTTAAGAAAAATTTAAGTTTATGTTTAGTTCAATTATGTAAAGTTAAAGTTTATTGAAACTTAAGTATAAATTATTTTTAAATTAAAGTTATTATAAAGTTAAAGTTAAGTTAATATTTTGATAATTTTAAGTTATTATTAATTCAATATTTAAGTTATGTTAAAGTTAAAGTTATGTTACAGTAAAAGTTATGTTAAAATTAAGCTGAAATTAAGCGAAAGCTAAAATTAAGATAAGAGTATGTTAAAATAAAGTTCAAGTTAAGTTAAAGTTATGTTAAGGTTAAGTTATAATTAAGTTTAACTTATGTTAACGTTAAGTTAAAGGTTTGTTAAATTTATGTTAAAGTTAACTTTTAGTAAGTTTAAAGTTAAGCTAAAGTTATGTTAAAGATAAAGTTATGTTATAGTTATATTAAAGGTAAGATGAAGTTATGTTAAAATTTAGTTAAGTTATGTTATAATTAAAATAAGTTCTCGGTTAAGTTAAAGGTGTGTTAAAGTTAAGATACAGTTAAGTTAAATTTAAAGTTATCTTAAAATAATATAAGTTAAAGTTGAGTGGAAGGTTCGTTAAAGTTGAATTGAATGTTAGTTAAAGTTATGTTAATGTTAAGTTAATGTTATGTTAATGTTAAGTTAATGTTATGTTAAAGATAAAACTAAGTTAAAGTTATCTTAAAGTTAAAGCAATGCTAAAAATAAATTAAATTTATGTTAAATTTGGTTACATTTTAGTTAAGGTTTTGCTAAAATTATGTTCAAGTTAAGTTAAAGTTACGATAAAATTATGTTAATGTTTAAGTTAAGTAAGTTATTTTAAAGTTAAAGTTAAGTTTAAGTTATTTTAAAGTTCAAGTTAAGTAAAAGGTAAGTTAAAGTTAAGTTAAAATTATGTTAAAGGTAAGTTAAAGTTAAGTTAAAGTAATTTTAAAGTTATAATAATGTTAAACTTAAGTTAAAGTTATGTTAAACACAAGTTAAAGTTATGTTATAGGTAAGTTAAAGTTATCTTAAAGTTAAAGTTATGCTAAAAATAAATTAAATTTATGTTAAATTTGGTAAAATTTAAGTTAAAGTTATGTTATAGGTAAGTTAAAGTTATCTTAAAGTTAAAGTTATGCTAAAAATAAATTAAATTTATGTTAAATTTGGTAAAGTTTAAGTTAAAGTTTTGCTCAAATTATATTCAAGTAAAGTCAAAGTTAAGTTAAAGTTATTTTTAAGTTAAAGATAAATTTAAGGTATTTTAAAGTTAAAGTTAAGTTAAGGTTATTTTAAAGTTAAAGTGAAGTTTAGTTATTTTAAAGTTAAAGTTATGTTAAAGGTAAGTTAAATTAATTTTAAAGTTAAAGTTATGTTAAACTTAAGTTAAAGTTATGTTATAGGAAAGTTAAAGTTATCTTAAAGTTAAAGTTTTGCAAAAATAAATTAAATTTATGTTAAATTTGGTAAAATTTAAGTTAAAGTTTTGCTAAAATTATGTTCAAGTTCAGTTGAAGCACAGACATAACGCTCACAATCACATTCATCATCGCAAATAATGTTTTAGTTGGGAATGTACTTGCACTTGTCATGGTGGCGCCACTGAAGCATTGAGTAAGCCACCACATTTCGAACTTATCAGTGATGCCAGTTCTTTTTCACGTCTAGTTAGTAGATGAATGATAAGTGGGCAAGGCATCCCACTGGAGACACATACCACATCTGACGAATACAGAAAAAAAATGTTGAATATTACATCAAAGCTGCTGCACATTAGTCATTCCGTTCTTAATATTACGTTGTACGATGTACACAGAATTCGAAAACAAATCATGTTGATAAATGTAATATTCTATCAACTTTTACCAGTTATTGATGTTCAGTAGTTCACCATAAATATCATTAATGATGAGCGGTGGTAGAAAGGGCACTAATAAGTAATACATTACATCGTTTAAAAAAAATCCAATTAAAGAAAAAGCACACTAAGCAAACAAAACAAATCCATAAAAAAAAGTATTAGCTTCTGAGAACTTTTCCTACGGATATGTATTTCTGCAGAATTCAATCAATTCTATAGATCTTCGGAAAATTTGATAGAACCGACCTCACTGACTTCCATCTGATTTGTTTTTATTCAACACAACTGACGCGTCTAGCAACCGAGCAAACATACCTAGATACCTATTACTAAAGTATTTCTTAAGTATTTATAAATATAATAAGTATATCGATAGAAATACAGAGTGGGATGTCCCTAGCT